CAGTGTTACAACCCCCTTACAACTGAGTGGTAGGGGATACACATCACAGTCACTATTACATCAGTGTTACAACCCCCTTACAACTGAGTGGTAGGGGATACACATCACTGTCACTATTACATCAGTGTTACAACCCCCTTACAACTGAGTGGTAGGGGATACACATCACAGTCACTATTACATCAGTGTTACAACCCCCTTACAACTGAGTGGTAGGGGATACACATCACTGTCACTATTACACCAGTGTTACAACCCCCTTACAACTGAGTGGTAGGGGATACACATTACAGTCACTATTACATCAGTGTTACAACCCCCTTACAACTGAGTGGTAGGGGATACACATCACTGTCACTATTACATCAGTGTTACAACCCCCTTACAACTGAGTGGTAGGGGATACACATCACAGTCACTATTACATCAGTGTTACAACCCCCTTACAACTGAGTGGTAGGGGATACACATCACTGTCACTATTACACCAGTGTTACAACCCCCTTACAACTGAGTGGTAGGGGATACACATTACAGTCACTATTACATCAGTGTTACAACCCCCTTACAACTGAGTGGTAGGGGATACACATCACTGTCACTATTACATCAGTGTTACAACCCCCTTACAACTGAGTGGTAGGGGATACACATCACAGTCACTATTACATCAGTGTTACAACCCCCTTACAACTGAGTGGTAGGGGATACACATCACTGTCACTATTACACCAGTGTTACAACCCCCTTACAACTGAGTGGTAGGGGATACACATTACAGTCACTATTACATCAGTGTTACAACCCCCTTACAACTGAGTGGTAGGGGATACACATCACTGTCACTATTACACCAGTGTTACAACCCCCTTACAACTGAGTGGTAGGGGATACACATTACAGTCACTATTACATCAGTGTTACAACCCCCTTACAACTGAGTGGTAGGGGATACACATCACTGTCACTATTACATCAGTGTTACAACCCCCTTACAACTGAGTGGTAGGGGATACACATTACAGTCACTATTAAATCAGTGTTACAACCCCCTTACAACTGAGTGGTAGGGGATACACATCACAGTCACTATTACATCAGTGTTACAACCCCCTTACAACTGAGTGGTAGGGGATACACATCACAGTCACTATTACACCAGTGTTACAACCCCCTTACAGCTGAGTGGTAGGGGATACACATTACAGTCACTATTACATCAGTGTTACAACCCCCTTACAACTGAGTGGTAGGGGATACACATTACTGTCACTATTACATCAGTGTTACAACCCCCTTACAACTGAGTGGTAGGGGATACACATTACTGTCACTATTACATCAGTGTTACAACCCCCTTACAACTGAGTGGTAGGGGATACACATTACAGTCACTATTACATCAGTGTTACAACCCCCTTACAACTGAGTGGTAGGGGATACACATTACAGTCACTATTACATCAGTGTTACAACCCCCTTACAACTGAGTGGTAGGGGATACACATCACTGTCACTATTACATCAGTGTTACAACCCCCTTACAACTGAGTGGTAGGGGATACACATTACAGTCACTATTACATCAGTGTTACAACCCCCTTACAACTGAGTGGTAGGGGATACACATTACAGTCACTATTACATCAGTGTTACAACCCCCTTACAACTGAGTGGTAGGGGATACACATCACTGTCACTATTACATCAGTGTTACAACCCCCTTACAACTGAGTGGTAGGGGATACACATTACAGTCACTATTACATCAGTGTTACAACCCCCTTACAACTGAGTGGTAGGGGATACACATCACTGTCACTATTACATCAGTGTTACAACCCCCTTACAACTGAGTGGTAGGGGATACACATTACAGTCACTATTACATCAGTGTTACAACCCCCTTACAACTGAGTGGTAGGGGATACACATCACTGTCACTATTACATCAGTGTTACAACCCCCTTACAACTGAGTGGTAGGGGATACACATTACAGTCACTATTAAATCAGTGTTACAACCCCCTTACAACTGAGTGGTAGGGGATACACATCACAGTCACTATTACATCAGTGTTACAACCCCCTTACAACTGAGTGGTAGGGGATACACATCACTGTCACTATTACACCAGTGTTACAACCCCCTTACAACTGAGTGGTAGGGGATACACATTACAGTCACTATTACATCAGTGTTACAACCCCCTTACAACTGAGTGGTAGGGGATACACATCACTGTCACTATTACATCAGTGTTACAACCCCCTTACAACTGAGTGGTAGGGGATACACATCACAGTCACTATTACATCAGTGTTACAACCCCCTTACAACTGAGTGGTAGGGGATACACATCACTGTCACTATTACACCAGTGTTACAACCCCCTTACAACTGAGTGGTAGGGGATACACATTACAGTCACTATTACATCAGTGTTACAACCCCCTTACAACTGAGTGGTAGGGGATACACATCACTGTCACTATTACACCAGTGTTACAACCCCCTTACAACTGAGTGGTAGGGGATACACATTACAGTCACTATTACATCAGTGTTACAACCCCCTTACAACTGAGTGGTAGGGGATACACATCACTGTCACTATTACATCAGTGTTACAACCCCCTTACAACTGAGTGGTAGGGGATACACATCACAGTCACTATTACATCAGTGTTACAACCCCCTTACAACTGAGTGGTAGGGGATACACATCACTGTCACTATTACATCAGTGTTACAACCCCCTTACAACTGAGTGGTAGGGGATACACATCACAGTCACTATTACATCAGTGTTACAACCCCCTTACAACTGAGTGGTAGGGGATACACATCACTGTCACTATTACACCAGTGTTACAACCCCCTTACAACTGAGTGGTAGGGGATACACATTACAGTCACTATTACATCAGTGTTACAACCCCCTTACAACTGAGTGGTAGGGGATACACATCACTGTCACTATTACATCAGTGTTACAACCCCCTTACAACTGAGTGGTAGGGGATACACATCACAGTCACTATTACACCAGTGTTACAACCCCCTTACAACTGAGTGGTAGGGGATACACATCACTGTCACTATTACACCAGTGTTATAACCCCCTTACAACTGAGTGGTAGGGGATACACATTACAGTCACTATTAAATCAGTGTTACAACCCCCTTACAACTGAGTGGTAGGGGATACACATCACTGTCACTATTACACCAGTGTTATAACCCCCTTACAACTGAGTGGTAGGGGATACACATTACAGTCACTATTACATCAGTGTTACAACCCCCTTACAACTGAGTGGTAGGGGATACACATCACTGTCACTGTTACACCAGTGTTACAACCACCTTACAGCTGAGTGATAGGGGATACACATCACTGTCACTATTACACCAGTGTTATAACCCCCTTACAGCTGAGTGGTAGGGGATACACATCACTGTCACTATAACATCAGTGTTACAACCCCCTTACAACTGAGTGGTAGGGGATACACATCACAGTCATTATTACACCGGTGTTATAACCACCTTACAGCTGAGTGGTAGGGGATACACATTACAGTCACTATTACACCAGTGTTATAACCCCCTTACAGCTGAGTGGTAGGGGATACACATCACAGTCATTATTACACCGGTGTTATAACCACCTTACAGCTGAGTGGTAGGGGATACACATTACAGTCAGCTGAGTGGTAGGGGATACACATCACTGTCATTATTACATCAGTGTTACAACCCCCTTACAACTGAGTGGTAAGGGATACACATCACAGTTATTATTACACAAGTGTTATAACCCCCTTATAGCTGAGTGGTAGGGGATACACATCACTGTCATTATTACATCAGTGTTACAACCCCCTTACAGCTGAGTGGTAGGGGATACACATCACTATCATTATTACATCACTGTTAAAACCCCCTTACAACTGTGTGGTAGGGGATACACATCACTGTCATTATTACACCGGTGTTACAACCCCCTTACAACTGAGTGGGAGGGGATACACATTACAGTCACTATAACACCAGTGTTATAACCCCCTTACAGCTGAGTGGTAGGGGATACACATCACTGTCATTATTACATCACTGTTAAAACCCCCTTACAACTGTGTGGTAGGGGATACACATCACTGTCATTATTACACCAGTGTTATAACCCCCTTACAGCTGAGTGGTAGGGGATACACATTACAGTCACTATTACACCAGTGTTACAACCCCCTTACAACTGATTGGTAGGGGATACACATTACAGTCACTATTACATCAGTGTTACAACCCCCTTACAGCTGAGTGGTAGGGGATACACATTACAGTCACTATTACATCAGTGTTACAACCCCCTTACAACTGAGTGGTAGGGGATACACATCACAGTCATTATTACATCAGTGTTACAACCCCCTTACAGCTGAGTGATAGGGGATACACCGGTAACATATTTGTTTGTCGTTCTATACAGGATTCAACTGTTGGAGGCACACCAAACATGAAATGTTACATTATTGATCTGAAGCTAATTGTTAAACTTTCATATTCAATATATTTGAACAAGACATAATAGTGCAAATACTGTTTATCCAATCTCACAGAACTTGATAAAGATAGGCCAGTAAAGAGAATGAATACAAGTTCATAGGTCAAAGGTTAAGGTCATAGGTAAAGTTACAACGTATGACTTCAGGTAGGCACACATTGAAGGCACATACGTACAAGTTTATAAAATCCTATTCTAAATAAGTACAATGATTGTGCATTCGAAGAAAGAAAGCCCTTTTGAAATTTAAACGTCAAAGGTCAAGGTTTAAGGTGAAAGTTATTAGTTATGGCTGACACACATTTAAGGCACGATGGTTTGATTCAGACTGTTTATCAACTTGGTAGAATGATTAAGTATGGCAAAAGCAGATGATGATCCTATTAAAATTGAAGGCCATAGGTCATATAAAACTAGTGTTGTATTTACCTGATATTGGAGTACTGCTGAACATACAGGTCATGGAATGGTGAGGGCTTAGTTTGTTTACTGAGGACTGTTTTTGTAATACCTTCCTTCATCTTCTCCACAAGGTCAGGAGGCATGCAGCTGTTTAGTAACTCCTCCTGTGACAGAGGTCAAAAGGTCATAATCTGATCAACATCGAAACTTGGTCATTAAACTTGTTCATTAAACTTGGTCATCAAAACCTTTAATGAACTATATCATCAATACGTAGACATCAGCCTTCCAGTAATGCAAACTAAAATATTTGAAAGAATGTTAATTTCTTTGATAATAAAGATACAATTTCAATAGTATTCAAGTTTCTTTTAGTGCAATAAGTAATCAGAAGATATCTTTTGAATTCGGGTCCTATGGATACTGACCTGTTGGTGTTTCTCACGTTCTAACTTGACCATTGATTGGATAGAGTTGCGTGCCTCAAGGAAGGTGTTTCTGTGTGTGATGTCTGTTAGGTATTTGTGATACAGCCCCACCATGTTACCACACAGCAGGATCACTAGATTACAGGCTATCTGCAGATACAATGGACTCCTAATTAGTACTTACATGTGTTATAAAATGTCTTTCATCATTTACCTGAAGTTATTTCTCTTTCAAAGTAAACATTTCAACAAGTTTCATTGTGAACCTTATCTATGGAATAGCTGTTAAAACAATGATATATAACAGGATCCCGATGTAAACGTACATTGTATAGTCCACAAAATTGAATATGAAATCAAATCTAATAACAGCCCCAACTTATAAATACATAATGTACAAATACATTTGAAATAATTAAAGACTCAATCATCAACAGTTTTACTGGTATTAACAGTACCTGTCTCTAGGGTTCGTTCCTACAGGACGCAAGATAAAGTAAACGGGACCCTCCTGAGACTAACTCAACCAGAAAGCTAAAGGGTAGCTGCTATGATAGAAATGTGTGGCATAAAAGACTAAAAAAGAAGGCATTTAACCAAATAAGGTCCAGGTCATCAATCAATGACTCTACCTTTCATAGTTCACTAGAAGAAGTTGGTTGTAACTTCTGATAAATCAGACAACTCCTGACCCGAGTGTGGATCAAAGTCATCTATTATAAGCAATCCTGATACAGGCTCTCACCTCAGAAAGCTATTGGCGAAATGTCATTATTCCTGACCTCATAGTTAACTGGAAGTCATTTTAATATTTAAGCACATATGATCCATATGACCTTGATTGCATATCAAGGTCATTAACTAGAAAATCCTTGATAAACATTTATTAAAGCAAGCTAATAGCCAACTATAACAACTCGAAGTTTTATGGTTCTTTTCAAGAAGCCATTTTAACAATTTTGAAAAGAATTTACCCTTCTGACCTTAAATGTAAGTTGAAGTGTTTCATTTTCAAAACCTTTATTACCATTTATTCCAGCTGTCCACAGGCCAATTGCAAATATCATTAATCTAAGCATCGTGAAGGAGATATTAACACATTTGACTCATGTGACCTTGAACAAGGGTCAAGGTTATTTATTTGAATAACCTTGATAGCATTTCATCCAAGGAAGCTACAGACAAAATATCGTTACTTGAGGTTTCAGTAGTTTTTTGAGGAAGTGTTTTGAAATTGTTTAAATACATTTGACACCTATGACCTTGAATGTATGTCTAGATCATAGATTTGAACAAAGTGAATAAATCTGCCATAAGGCCAGCTATCGTGATTCTAGGCTTAGAGTTTCTGAAGAAGTTGTTACTCACACGCATTTTATGCCAAGTGAAAAAATGCAATCACCACACAAATGCTTAAAATCAGGATGTGGTTATTTAATCTGTAAAACGCATTGACATTTTGGCATTCAACTTATGAAGTATGGGTTATGCTATTATTAGGGTATGTATCTGTAAGATAAACCAATTTGTAATATTAGTAAAATCTTTAAACGTGAACATTAGGATCTGGTGTGCATAGAGCAAATAATATATATACTACCTGAATAAATAGAAAGTTTTTATCCTTTGTTAGAAATCCGACAGTGCTAGTCTCCAGGACGGTGGTGAGGACGCCGAGACAGAGAGACCAGCGCTTCGACAGCGGCAGCATCATGTGACACACAAGCGTGGTGTAGAACACGATGGCGATGTCGTCAGACGGCTCACGGTGATCGCCAGGAACGTTGTAGTAGATGTTGATGACAGCGAGGAGGAGGATCCAGATGATGACAGAGACGACAGACGGACACTTGAGGTAGAGCTTTTCCGTGACGACCACCAACATGATCCCCAGCATACCAAGGACACCGCAGCCCAGTGTGGCTATGTGAACCTGGGTAGTCGGGTCAGTGAACGTCTACAGAAAGCAGAAAGAAACATTGTGTAAAGTTACATGTACGGTTTAAGTACGCCTATAGATTAAGACTAGACCCAGAACATAAAGTGCATTCCCCTTTATAGAATGATCTCAACACCCATCTAAAACAACTATATGTGGTATATAAATGAATAATGGAAACCGAAGGGACTTTACGATAAACAGATATCATACAATCAATATTTTTGGGAAATTAACTGCACTACTAGTCATATGCCACCTGGCTAATACCTCCATGTGTGTATATATGTATGGGTATGTAATGGAACCTTGCTTTTCAACAGTACAGACGCTAAAACGCTCAGAAACTTTCATATTCCACCTGGGTGTTTGGATCAACAAGGAATGCCATATGAGAAGCACTCAGACAAATCCGCCCATACTAGTGATACAAATGTATTTGTGATCAATACACAAGCATTGGAAATAATCTATATATGGCCATGGTATATACTAACGATCACTTAACTCCAGTATGTTATATCATCTGTTGGTATAAAATATGTCTGTAAAGTGTTATTTTGAGCTACAAGCAACGGTCAATTTGAACTTAGACCTCAATTTACTACATAGACATTAACATGAAAAACCTAGACAAATGCTCTTGAACATCAAATACTGATAATATAGTACACATAACCTCATTGGTATATCTTCTGTAATAAATAAGCTAAATGTCTTGTACCTTGGCCTTGAAGTAAAGTTCCTAAAATAGCACATGACACTTCCGGCTTCATAATTGATTCAATTCGTATCAAAATATTTATAATGGTTATAAAGTTATACAATGTAGAATTAAATATTATCGAACAGAAAAACGAAACAAAACACTCTAAGACGGGTTCGTTTGATTCAACATCAACAACCAAAACTTGGTTACGTTTGGTTTTTGCAGGATTTAGTGTCCCTTTAAGGTGGCTCCACACATCGTCATCAGCGTCCATTTTCGTGACGTACTTCCGGAAAAAGTACAGCTCGGACTCAATTATCTTGATCGAAATGTGCATGTACACCGTGTCGTCATTTCCGTATTGCGTATCGGGCATTCAATGTCGTTGTGCAAATTATAGTTACACCTTGACCGTTTTGTCAAACCGATCGGACCACTGTTGTTCGTTCATTAAATAAGGTCGGACCTAGTAATCTGATGCTGCTTTCAGGCGAGCTTGCAAGGCCTGCATACACATTTGCAGGTCCGCCAGGATTTATACCCGAAATCGTTACATTTATAAACGGTCAAACCGGTTGCTCCGCATAAACGAACAGGCCCCTGGTAAACAATAGTACACGTGCGTGCCGATGATATGTCAACACCCGATATCGAGATTTTACCGGGAAATGTATAATCACACGTATTTCAGGAATAAAGCTTTCAAATTCATAGACATAAACAGACTCACGGGAAGATAGTGACATGAGACCAAACGACCTCAAGAAGGTCATATAGGAAACGCATGGAATGCGGACGTACCGACCTCACATGTGCAACACGAGTTCATAAGCTCGAGGTCGTTACGATTTTCGCTGTTGAGGAAGTTTCGCTCTGTCGATTAAATCGTGTTTACAAATGTAGTCTACTTACTCTGTGAAAATAATGTTTTGTAAAATATCAAGATACCTATAAAATGCATGTGTGAGTGCACGTGAGAACGGCATACCATGCGATAGCCTCTGGTCACATATGTACCTGACATGTAATTATAAACATACCGTGAGTTAGCGGACTGTGGAATGATGTCCAAAGTGTACATGACTGAGGGTAATTTGGTTCCATTAAAGAACAATAAATTGATAATTTTGATATCATATTTTTGATTTATTTCCATCATTTTTGTTATATGTAAACAGGGACAACTGTCATTGTGTAAATGTCACCCCTCTGCAAAAAGTTCCGATTTTTTTCAAGGAAGATAACTCTTACCCGGATCGAAGTGATTGTAAAATGTAAAATAAATTAATTATAAAGCCATTGTGTATATTTTGTTCAATTTCCCATTCTATATGTATAGATCTTTGTGTCCTGTTGGCTTTTAGCTTGTAGATAATCACTTTTATCCGTTCAAATTCAATAAAAAACACTTTGTGTAACATGTGTTACATATTTTGCGATAAATAAAATATTTGTAGGGTTAATTAGAAATGCTTCTTTTCATTTTATTATTGTTGTTATTGTTCCGAACAATGTCACACCCAAAAATAACCCGGAAAATATTAAAATTGACGAAAATTCAATTTTTTGGTATTTTTTCCAAAAAAGTCCCCTAACTATCGGAGTGTTTAGATTTTCATAAAATCAACTCTACATAGTTGCATAACCATTATATGAAAGTTTCAACGAATTTCGCTGGTTAATTACGAAAGTGTGGAGCCACCTTAATAACTAAGGTCGTATAGGGAGGTGCCTTGATGTGTGTTATGCACGAATGGACGTGTGTTTGTATGTTGGAGGCGGTATGGTGGTTCTTGTCGATAGCGTGGATCTGATGCCGACTTTAATGTGTTACCTCACGGACATGCCACGCCGAAGTCACTCAGCATAGCATTCCACCCAGCCACACAAGGTTAGCAGAGGTTGTTGTGATTATCGCATAGCGGGGGAAAACAACAACCATCTGAAGGACTTTGGTCCAGTTTGTCTCGGCCTTGGGACAGAACCTATTGCATTCCTCACAGAGGCCGAAAGTGAGGTATTGCCAAGGAAGGCGTTTGGAAATAATGAGGTTGTTAGGAAGTAGAGAGAAAACATCCAAAAAGAGTTCCTCCTCCCAAAATAGAATTACCTCACAGACGACGAGGTGATAGACGATGATGCTGATTGAGACAGTGATGGTTAGGGTGAGGAGAGCGACGACCAGCGACCTCTTCATCATCGCACAGTAACACTGGTACATCTCCTCTATCTGTAGGCTGCGGAAGGTCTCCTGTCAACAGAAAGTCGGAACTATCACTCAGACCAAACTATCTTAGTGATAGCTTCCTAAATCTTCATACACTACAATCATCTACCATTGCTATACAGTACAGTAAATGTTGATATTTATTTATACTATGATTTAGTTGCGGTAACATTTACAGTGGCCAATCAAAAGTGTCCGCATTGATATATACAATGTTACGTATTCCCGGCTATCAGGAGGAATGTTGAAGACTTATAAGCTAGAGTATCTATAACATGTATGACACTACGAAGAAGTTAATTCTCCAATGTACGTCCTTCAATAATCTTGGTCAGGTGGTGATTCGTATCGGGAAGTATCATCTATACATTGCAGTGTGTGGGGGACAGCCAGATGCCTCACCTCCGCCCCCTTCTTAATTGATGAAATGTTGTCTGCCAAGGTTTCACTGTTTCTGTTTCGCAATAAGAAGTTAAGTTTCTCCAATAAGAGGGAAAGCATTATTTTGTTGAGTTTAAAGTTATACGTACCTTGATATGGGCTAGTGAGATCTCCTCCCATGGTGACTTGACATTGGGTTGATAGGGGGTCCCGTACTGCCCGGGGGGTGGGACCTGCCCAAACAGATAGGAGGTCGCCCGACCAGACATTTCTACTGCTCCTTAATCCATAGAATCCTGGCAGACAAGGAAAATATATACACCATCATAAAATTCTCCTTCACATGCACCAACAACATTTCTTTGTAATTAATTATAACCGTACTACAGTCGCTCTGTGAGTTTGAGCCGTTTATATTCCAACTTGATTTGTGTAAAGTGAATTGCATATTTTCGACACAGTGTTACGTTACAATCAATGCTGGAAATCAATGGAGATCTGAGTTGTGTCCCCCTAGTCTTATTGCCTACAGGATATGTACGAGTCTGGTAATCAAAATAGCTTCACCATACAAGTAAACACATGTCATTATAAGACAGAGTACGTGGAACAACATGTAGACATATTGATTGTTATGTAAGTATGGTTCTACTGGAAACTTCTGCTATACCATAAAACTACAACCATCCCACAAAAATACATTCTCTGCACCGTTAACGAACAAACATTACATGATCTGTACCGTTAACGAACAAACATACCGGTTACTAACATTACATGATCTGTCCCGGTTACTACCATAAATCACTGTATCTACCGGTTACTAACATAAATCACTGTATCCATACCGGTTACTAACATTAATCACTGTATCCATACAGGATACTACCATAAATCACTGTATCTACCGGGTACTTACTATATCACATGATCGGTACCGGTTACTAACTATATCACATGATGTGTACCGGTTACTTACTATATCACATGATCTGTACCGGTTAATAACTATATCTCATGATCTGTACCGTTAATGAAAAAACATACCGGTTACTAACATTAATCACTGTATCCATACGGGTTACTACCATAAATCTCTGTATCCATACCGGTTGCTAACATAAATCACTGTATCTACCGGTAACTGACATAAATCACTGTATCTGCCGGTTACTAACATAAATCTCTGTATCCATACCGGTTACTAACATTAATCACTGTATCCATACCGCTTACTAACATAAATCACGGTATCCATACCGGTTACTACCATAAATCACTGAAGCCATACCGGTTACTAACAGAAATCACTGTATCCATACAGGCTACTACCATAAATCACTGCATCCATACAGGTTACTAACATAAATCCCTGTATCCATACCGGTTACTAACATAAATCACTGTATCTACCGGTTACTAACATAAATCACTGTATCTACCGGTTACTTACTATATCACATGATCTGTACCGGTTACTAACTATATCACATGATCTGTACCGGTAACTAACTATATAACATTGTGTGTACCAGTTACTAACTATATCGCATGATGTGTACCGGTAACTAACTATATCACATGATGTGTACCGGTAACTAGCTATATCATATGGTGTGTACCGGTTACTAATTATATCACATGGTGTGTACCGGTAACTAACTATATCACATGACGTGTACCGGTTACTAAATATATAACATGGTGTGTACCGGTAACTAACTATATCACATGATGTGTACCGGTAACTAACTATATCACATGATGTGTACCGGTTACTTACTATATCACATGATCTGTACCGGTTACTAACTATATCGCATGATGTGTACCGGTAACTAACTATATCACATGGTGTGTACCGGTTACTAACTACATTTGTATATCACATGCTATGTACCGGTTACTTACTATATCACATGGTGTGTACCGGTTACTAACTATATCACATGGTGTGTACCGGTAACTAACTATATCACATGATATGTACCGGTTACTAACTATATCACATGGTCTGTTCCGGTTACTAACTATATAACATGGTGTGTACCGGTTACTAACTATATCACATGGTCTGTACCGGTTACTAACTATATCACATGGTCTGTACCGGTTACTCCATTTATCACATCTGTGCTACGTCATGTCACGTGAGGATATCTCCATCTGTCACAGTATCCGAAAACTAAACTAAGGGCTGGAGGTGATAAAACTTACAGTAGTTAAAGGAAAATGAATAGAATTACTCTGGTAAGAATCTGGATTAAATGTGAAAAACCCCACAAGAGACTATCAAACCGGCCCGTTTTCCTGAGTTATATGACCTTAGTATGACTGACACTAGTTACTGTTAATGAAAGGCTACACATCCGATGTGACTACGCGAATATATCACACAGAAATTTTGTGATAAATTAGCGCTGAAATTAATTGTGTAAATAATTGCTTATTCATGAAAAACTTTAATCTTATCATCTATTATTGAATCTATATTTCAAATTGTTCATATCTAACAACTCAACTGCGACTTAATGCAAAACACGTTTATATGACATTTGGCTATATACATGTAAATGTTATTGCATGGTTTTCGAGTAACAAGGGATTTATTACACCCGGGCGAAGCGAGTGTGTAATAAATCCCGAGTGACGAGAAATCATGCAATAACTGGCTTACTGCATGCTTCCCAACTCGAACAAAACAGAAAAAATGAGTAAAAAATGTTCACATGGACAATCTTTTTACCTTACCGGTAACCCTACACTGTCGATAAATTACATGTACCTGTGTGAGTGAGTACTAATCAGAACAAGGTAAGTTTGTCTTTATTCTCAATAGCCCAGTCTGAGTGTATCAATCATAATAAATACAAGTGCTTTTGGATTACTATCCAGCTCCAGTGTCAGGGAAGGTAAGGAGTGTCTGTTCAACAATCAGAACAAAATACGGGACAAAATGTTGAATTTCTGACTACATTTTCAGTTTAATTTTTAAGATGTGGCAAAGGTACAGGATATTGACACCATTTTCCTACCTACAATGTAAGGGTTTATCAATCCCTAAGGAATTCCAGTTCTTTTAATGAATGGTATATTTGAATGTGCAATCTTGTATGAAGAAACAGCTCCCAAAGATTATAAACTTTTCCAGGTAATGCTTATCCTCTCACGTGATAAGGAAATCAATTAACGCTGCCAACTCAGTAATTTTGTTTGTTTATTTTTCAATCATGAAATTACCATTACCATTTTCAACTTTCCTGGGGGAAATTGAGGAAAATAGTGAAAATATATGATTTTTAAAGAAAATTCTCAGGNGGGGGGGGGTCCCGAGGCCAAAAAAAACCTCTGGATCCGCCACTGGTATGCATTTGAGATAAGACTCGTGTGTGAAGTTTTTATATCCCTAAGTTCGTACTCTCTGTAAACTTACTTTCATAACTCATTACTATTGTCCATCACATTACGCAACAGGATTAGTGTAATAGCCTTTACCTTGTGGACACTGACCACAGGTAATTAATCTTACAATTAGCGACACCTGTCACTTAAACCTCAGGTACCTTTATATTATTGTACGTACATGTATTTAACTGTGCTATGTTGTATTGTAAATCAGTTAGGTTCTAGACTTTGTACGGAACACATCGGGTATATTTTGGACACTCCAGAATATCCCGCCGTCAAGTAAAAGGTTATCTCTTAGTAAATTTCAAAGTTAAACTTTCATCAACTCTTACGTCATCATTTCAACAAGACAAAACGTGCAGAAAAACCTTAAGTTAAATACACCATGCCTTATATTATGTTTTCGTATTACTCGATATGACTCAATCACATTATGACGTCAGAATTAAAATATTAAACCATTAGATATGCTATGACATATGACGTCACGTCGACAATTATACGTGACGTCAAAATGTTGGCGTCGAAGACCTGATAATTTCAGAGAAAACAATGTGTTTCCGATGAAAAGTATATTGGATTCATTTCCAGACGACGCAAACCCTCACTGAAATGAAAACTTAGAGACTCTTCGTAAATCTCGTATGAAATGGAAATACATTTAAATCCTATATTCATTTTCCCAATAGCTTTGATGTCACGGATATGTGAAGGCTATTTCTTACATGGAAAGATATTTTGTGTTCGACCAATTGCATCCTGTAATTTCTGCGACAATCGCACATGGAATTTGAAGTCTATAATGACTGGAATAATATCTCCGTCCAAAGTCCTTACACGAAACTCTATAACGACGACCACCCATAAAATTACACTATCACCCCTCCAATATACCAAGGTCTGCTAAATTGTGTACGACCACACGGGGAATAAATATATACAAAGCGAATTAAGACAATACTGCTATTATCATTTTTATGGGACGAAATGTGAAAAATTAAGCTTGGCTACAATACAAATACGCAATTTAAAATTTTCCTGTAACGAAAGATAACGCACCCTTTTACTTGGTTTTTCAAAGTAAACAAATAAGGAAAGCGCAAACGGACCGCACATCAATCTTTATACAAGTACTATCACATGGTCCACTTTCTCTTTGTCGACTGGGAATGACGCATGCGTCACTTTGTACAAGCTGCTGGTCAGACTTTATAGTCACACGTCATCATGTCTTATTAAAGTCACGACTAACACCTCACACGCCGATCACAACCAACCCCTCCGCAAGCCTCTCCTCTATATAGACCTCCAGCCTCCGGACCTGTCCTTCCTACCACAACATACAGTTATATAGGGGAATGACCGCCCCATCGCTTTATATATAATTACCTCATAAACCATACCTGCAGGTTTTTTTGTGACATTTATTTCGTTTTTATACCAGGTCAATTAGTCTAGGACAGTGCTAGTGATCTCCAACAGAAAAGCAGACTATCTTAAACAAACACACGAGTAAAAATACCAGTTATATACTATTCTACACTTTTCTACCAAAGCAAATGTGGACGAGCCACCATCAATTTAGACTACATAAGACCACACTAAGTAATTACGTTAGTGATATTTAATTATATAGACCTCTGTCCATACTAAGTAACTACGGTAGTGGTATTTAATTACAAAGATCTCTGTCCACACTAAGTAATGACGGTAGTGGTATCTAATTATATAGATCTCTGTCCACACTAAGTAATTACGTTAGTGGTATTTAATTATATAGACCTCTGTCCATACTAAGTAATTACGGTAGTGTTATCTAATTAGATAGATCTCTGTCCACACTAATTAATAACGGTAGTGGTATCTAATTATGTAGATCTCTGTCCAC